ATATATATATATATATATATACACACACACACACACATACAAAAAAAACATGTAGATAGAAGAGAAAAAGAATATAGCTAGAAAGCTAGTGTTAGAGTATTGTTTTTGTTTTTTTCTTTAAAGGGATAGTTCACCCAAAAATGAAAATTCTGTCATTAATTACTCACCCTCATGTCATTCCAAACCCATCTTCGGAACACAAATTAAGATATCTTGATTAAATCCAAGAGCTCTCTCTCCTTGCATAGACAGCAAGGGTACTACCACGGCCAAGGCACAGAAACGTAGTAAGGACATCGTTAAAATAATCCATGTGACAATTTGTGTTCCGAAGATTAATTTGTGTTTAGATGAATGTCTTACTGGCTTGAAAGTCTTACTGGCTTGGAATGACATGAGGGTGAGTAATTAATGACAGAACTTTCATTGCAAAAACTCCCATATATTGCAAAAAGGTTTTCATGCTCGCATAAGTTGGGTTTTTAAGGCAATGGAAACGTTTTTGTTTTTTTCTCATTTACAGGTTACCTGGCGTACATAAGTGACTCCAAACAGTATATACTTGCAGTGGTCTCAAACTCAATTCCTGGAGGGCCACAGCTCTGTAGAGTTTACCTCCAACCAGCTCCAAATCACACCTGCTTGGAAGTTTCTAGACTTTGAAAAGACTTGGATCAGGTGTGTTTGATTAGGGTTGGAGCTAAACTGTGCCGAGCTGTGGCCCTCCAGGAATTGAGTTTGAGACCAATGCTTTAAATCAATAGCCAAGTCATGGGGTGAATGCAGTGTGTTGATAACTCCAGACTGCTAATTTGATTGTGTACATTAACACCTTTCCTACAGTTGACTGTAATCGAAGATCACCATCCCCGCTGATATAAGGATACTTCCACTCCACTAGGTTAATGCACGCTCTGCGCACAGGGTTATTGAGAGTCAGGCAGAAAAGTGCTCTTGGAGGTCTGCTATTAGTGGTGCTTCCCTGTTTCTTGCTTTTGGCATATTGCTGGCGTTTCCTCTGGGCGAGCGAGCTGGCCGGAGCAGTGCTTGCAGCAGCAGAGAAGTTCATGGTTTTGGGGGTGTCCTGAGACTGTCTGGCGGCATTAATCGCGGCCTGCCAGGAGAGCGCGGCGGACTGGGCCGGCGAGTGATGGCTGGTGATCGACGTCGCTTCCGACCAGACAGGAGGAGCATCACTAGAGACGGGGGCTCTGGTGCCACTGGCATAGTTTGCCCCTGAAAAACAGATAATAGAGGGAAAAAATAATAATGAATAGTCTTCACATTTACATTTAATCATTTAGCAGACACTTTTATCCAAAGCAACTCACAAATGAGGACAATAGAAGCAATCAAACCAACAAAAGAGCAATAAAATGCAAGTGCTATATATATATATGTGTGTGTGTGCGTGTGTGTGTGTGTATATATATATTAGTGGTGTCAAACGATTAATCACGATTAATCACATCCAAAATAAAAGCTTTTGTTTACATAATATATGTGTGTACTCTGTATATTGAAAAATATATTGAAAAATATGTTATATTTGTATATTAAATATATTTATATAAAATAGAAATTATATAAATATAAATATATACATTTAAATACATGTAAATATTTTCAAAATATATATTGTATGAGTGTGTATTTATATACATTATAAATATACACAGTACATAACTTTTATTTTGGATGCGATTAATCGTTTGACAGCACTAATATATATATATATATATATATACACACACACACACACATACAAAAAAAACATGTAGATAGAAGAGAAAAAGAATATAGCTAGAAAGCTAGTGTTAGAGTATTGTTTTTGTTTTTTTCTTTAAAGGGATAGTTCACCCAAAAATGAAAATTCTGTCATTAATTACTCACCCTCATGTCATTCCAAACCCATCTTCGGAACACAAATTAAGATATCTTGATTAAATCCAAGAGCTCTCTCTCCTTGCATAGACAGCAAGGGTACTACCACGGCCAAGGCACAGAAACGTAGTAAGGACATCGTTAAAATAATCCATGTGACAATTTGTGTTCCGAAGATTAATTTGTGTTTAGATGAATGTCTTACTGGCTTGAAAGTCTTACTGGCTTGGAATGACATGAGGGTGAGTAATTAATGACAGAACTTTCATTTTTGGGTAATCTGTCCCTTTAAGAAAAAAAACTAGATAGACTGTATATTCATAAATATTTGTATTATTCATATATATTATAGTGCCACCCCCATCACAGACACCACTAGTCTGTTTTCACTTGTTATGTGATTGGTTGATGATGAATCACAGCTGGCAACAGGAGGAGTTCAGCACTGAGTGTAAAATCAAAACATGCTGAAGAAACCCGTACATCACTTTCAGTTTTTTGGCAAAACAAAATGAGGTATTTTACTCCAAAGCTGATTTTCTTTCTAAATGAAGGCAACATTCCTGGCTTTGTCCATAGCTGGCATTAGATGATCTGTAGTGGTTTTGTATGTTGGTTTTAAACACCTAGTTCACAACTGTCCTGAATTAGATTTATTTATTTTATTGTGAAATCTGCCCTCCAAACCAAAATTGTAATATACTGATATATTGAGTGTTTCCATAAGTAAGTAACTCTATTCTTGCATACTGAATAGCATTTAAAAGGAATTGAAACATTGTACCATCAAATATCAACATCGATTGAATTATTTTACAATCCAGAGTCCAGAGCTCACAGGTGTCCTTAAGGTGTAGTTCATCACATCATGTAGCCTATATATGAACAAGCACCACTAACCAGAAACAAAGCAAAAAGTCATTCAATACAGGCTGTCTGCATTTTCAACACTATATCAATTTTTCTAGCACTTCAAAACAAACAAATTTCTTTCTCTGTCAATTGTTTGGATATGACACTACAAATAGCCTACTTTTTGAGGCCACTACTTAATACGAATTGATTGTGTAAAGCAGCTTGTAATACTCTTGAATCAAACAGTGTCAAAGATGGACACTGTGTAATGGTAATACTTCACAATACGGTTCGGATAAGGTTCTACTGCATTAGGTATCTGATGATTTTACATATATGTCTTTCAGTTTATATTTTATTCGACATCTACTCGAACCTGTCACCATAATACTCGCGCATAAAGACTAGTGTGATGCGCACTGAATTCTACACAACTTTAACACGGACATACTCTTCACTTTTAAATTCAGTGTCACCAGTTTAATTAAGCCCTTTTAGTATTAAACGAATTTAATATGCAGAAACTCGTCCATAAGTCACATCTAGATGTTTGTGTTTACCTTCAGTCGGTTCCTCTGGCTCGTCCATCCCCTCCCAGCTCCAAATCACACCTGCTTGGAAGTTTCTAGACTTTGAAAAGACTTGGATCAGGTGTGTTTGATTAGGGTTGGAGCTAAACTGTGCCGAGCTGTGGCCCTCCAGGAATTGAGTTTGAGACCAATGCTTTAAATCAATAGCCAAGTCATGGGGTGAATGCAGTGTGTTGATAACTCCAGACTGCTAATTTGATTGTGTACATTAACACCTTTCCTACAGTTGACTGTAATCGAAGATCACCATCCCCGCTGATATAAGGATACTTCCACTCCACTAGGTTAATGCACGCTCTGCGCACAGGGTTATTGAGAGTCAGGCAGAAAAGTGCTCTTGGAGGTCTGCTATTAGTGGTGCTTCCCTGTTTCTTGCTTTTGGCATATTGCTGGCGTTTCCTCTGGGCGAGCGAGCTGGCCGGAGCAGTGCTTGCAGCAGCAGAGAAGTTCATGGTTTTGGGGGTGTCCTGAGACTGTCTGGCGGCATTAATCGCGGCCTGCCAGGAGAGCGCGGCGGACTGGGCCGGCGAGTGATGGCTGGTGATCGACGTCGCTTCCGACCAGACAGGAGGAGCATCACTAGAGACGGGGGCTCTGGTGCCACTGGCATAGTTTGCCCCTGAAAAACAGATAATAGAGGGAAAAAATAATAATGAATAGTCTTCACATTTACATTTAATCATTTAGCAGACACTTTTATCCAAAGCAACTCACAAGTAAAGCAGCTTGTAATACTCTTGAATCAAACAGTGTCAAAGATGGACACTGTGTAATGGTAATACTTCACAATACGGTTCGGATAAGGTTCTACTGCATTAGGTATCTGATGATTTTACATATATGTCTTTCAGTTTATATTTTATTCGACATCTACTCGAACCTGTCACCATAATACTCGCGCATAAAGACTAGTGTGATGCGCACTGAATTCTACACAACTTTAACACGGACATACTCTTCACTTTTAAATTCAGTGTCACCAGTTTAATTAAGCCCTTTTAGTATTAAACGAATTTAATATGCAGAAACTCGTCCATAAGTCACATCTAGATGTTTGTGTTTACCTTCAGTCGGTTCCTCTGGCTCGTCCATCCCCTCCTCCACATTGAAAATGTCTTTATTATTTGTTATATTCCAGTTCGCGTGGCTGCATTAAAACATCTTATCTATCATGTTTTGACTAGTGTGTATGCTGATGCTGATGCTGATGCCTTGAGCTCCGCGAGCGCATCTTCGCAGCATCCGGGTGTCGAGGACGCGTTTCACTCCGCGATGAAGATTAAATCCATTGAGCGCCATTACAAGCGACCACTCATGATGATGCCCCTTGCCTCGAAGATCCCTAGAGCTCCAGCCAGTCTTTCAGGAATGTTATTCCATCCGTCACAGCGGACCAAATTAGAGAAACCCGAGCACAGTTTTTCTTTTATCCCCACCCCCGCGCACTCGCTGCAGTTGTGCGTCCGTTTTAAATGAAGGCCGTGTTCGGGGAATATTCAATTACCTTTGCAGGACATCTAACAGGCTTTTCAACAGGTCACCTAGCCTATCCTAGGTAATGTTACTGATCTATACTTAGTTCACCTTTGGCTTCATAAAGTCAAGGTGATATCTATTTTAATTTTCAGATAAAAGTAAACTGAATATAAATCTTACCTCGTATTCCCAGTATGAACGCCATTCATCTCTCTCACTCCTTCTTAGAATAAATTTATACAACTTTTGAAGAATCTTCAGTTACATTTACATTTAGTCATTTAGCAGACACTTTTATCCAAAGCAACTCACAAATGAGGACAATAGAAGCAATCAAACCAACAAAAGAGCAATAAAATGCAAGTGCTATGAGAAGTCCCAGTTAGCCTAATGCAGTACACGTAGCAAGTTTAAAAAAAAACTATATATATATATATATACAGTGGGTACGGAAAGTGGCTTCATAAAGTCAAGGTGATATCTATTTTAATTTTCAGATAAAAGTAAACTGAATATAAATCTTACCTCGTATTCCCAGTATGAACGCCATTCATCTCTCTCACTAAAGCAGCTCATTCGCTGAGTGCATGCTGTTTTCTGCTCGTTCTTGCCATAAATTGAAAGCATAGAGTGTATGGGAGTGTGGGGTTGGATTACCTGTCTGTAGCAGATTTCCTCGGACTCAAACCTTCTGTGCTACTGAGCTACTCTAGAGCGGAAGCGAATAAAGCGCACTCTAATATTTCATTAAAAACTGTTCTATCTGATTATGACCATGTTTTACCATAAACAATCTCAAATGCAGCTACTGTAGTAGACAAAGGTAAAATAAGAAGTAGGCCCTATATTTTAGGCCATTTCCATATGCAATGCAAAATGAATTAATTTTAGTTTTTTTTTTTTCTTCGTAACCGTGCTTGGTTTGTTTTCATAGTTGTAATTGTTTGGTTTTTATTTTTACCTATTAAAAAACGCGCGCGCGCAGAAAATGTGCGTCTGTATGTAACGGCGACCTCTTGCGGTTTCTTAATAACATCACATTTTACATCTGGTCCACTGAGCTCAAAGTCCATTAAAATAGCTCAGTAGATGGTTCATAAATTCAAGAAAATCCAACACTAATAACCACACGTGGGTGAAAGTGGCGGGGCACTTTTTTAAACTGCTCAACACTTTCTTAATATATTAAGCACTACTTTATGGAATTACATAAAATACTTTTTAGTGCACAATTATTTACATTAAGACAAAAAAGGTCCTGGATTATGCTTTATTTTGATAGTCCACTTTGTACATTCTATCTCTATGTCTGTCTATTCAACTATGCAACTACATGTTATTAGAGTGTTAGTACACTGTTAGGTTATAGGGTTACAATAAGTTGACATACTTGCAAAATTACTTATATTCAGTAGAATTTCTGTTGGGGAATCATCAAAATAAAGCAGGGGTATTCAATTCTAAGAGGTCCAGGCTCTATATGTGACCCTGGAGCACAAAAGCAGTCATAAGTAGCACAGGTATTCATGCTCCATGAAGATATTTTGTACATTTCCTACCGTAAATATATCAAAACTTATTTTTTGATTAGTAATATGCATTGCTAAGAACTTCATTTGGACAACTTTAAAGATTATTTTCTCAATATTTAGATTTTTTGCACCCTCAGATTCCAGATTTTCAAATAGTTGTATCTCGGACAAATATTGTCCTATCATAACAAACCATACATCAATGGAAAGCTTATTTATGCAGCTTTCAGATGATGTATTCATCTCAATTTGAAAAAATTTACCCTTATGACTGGTTTTGTGGTCCAGGGTCACACATTTCCTTGCCAGCAGAGGTCCGGGTGATACTTTGTTTGAAATAGTTATAAATTTTGATGCACCGAAATGAAAATTCTGGGCCGAAAACCGAAAATGCTAAGTAATTTGGTAAGAATTTTTTATTTAACTCAATCATTTTAATGATACTGAATTTAAAAAACACAAGCCAATAAAATAACTTTTACTGAAATTAACACAATAAAACTGGACAGAATGTATATTAATATTGGTAACACTTTACAATAAGGTTAATTAGTTAACATTAGTTAACTACTTTAGTTAATGAACTAAGAATGAACAATAGTTCTTCAGCATTTATTAATCTTAGTTAATGTTAATTTCAACATTTACTAATGCATTATTAAAATCAACAGTTGTGCTTGTTAACAGTTAATGCACTCTGAATTAACATGAACTAACAGTGAACAACTGTATTATCATTAACTAACATTAAGAAAGATTAATAAATACTGCAATAAATGTATTGTTCATTGTTCGTTCATGTCAGTTAATACATTAACTAACATTAACTAATGAAACCTTACTGTAAAGTGTTATAGTAAGTTAAAGTATAATGTTTTTATTCACTTCTATGTAACAGAATCAGATATAAGTTTTTTTTGACTAATTATCCAAATAATGTATAGTCCTACAAAGCTATTATTATCAGAGCATGTGAGCGGAGCATATTGTCACGTGAAGGTAGCATCGTTTTAGCAGCGTTGTCCAGTACAGCTACAGCATGTTACAGCACAGTAGCGCTACTACAGGAGCAAGTATACTGCATAGAAATGTCCTGTCAGCGCGTTATTTGAGCGGACTTTGCTTTTCTGGTGAGCATGTTCCGCACATACATAGAGCTGAATGTTGAGCGGAGCGTCAAACCGCGCAGTGACGAGGAGCGTCAAACCTGCGCGCTGAACACTGCCGGGCGGGGCGGGGCGGGGCGGGGCGGGGCGCGCCATATAGGCTATATTATTATATGTATATTTTCGGCCGTTTTTCTCTTTCGGCGGCCGAAAATTCGGTGCATCCCTAAAATTTTCATCTGACATAGTGGACTCATCGAAAAATACATTGGCATCATCTGTATTAAAGAGAAAATAATCACTTCATCCGATGTGTAAGTGAATAAAATAGCCTTTGACAGCCTACTTACTGGAGTGTGTGTGTGTGTGTGTGTGTGTGTGTGTGTGTGTGTGTGATGTAAAAGAATAAAGCAGGCATTTGGACTGCTCAAGGGAGGGGCAGACTCAAAATGTTTCTAAACTTAAATGCATTTTTGCCCCGTTTGTGTTGTTTTACTACTTACACAATTATTTAAAGTCTAAAACATTGTTATTTACAATGCACCGCCTGGTTTTTAATCATATTTTTAGGGGGGACAACCCTCAGATGTTTTATGTAAACACACACACACACACACACACACACACACACACACACACACACACACACACACACACACACACACACACACACACACACACACACACACACACACACACACACACACACACACACACACACACACACACACAAGTAGCCTACAGACACTTTCTCCATTTAATTATGACAGACACAGCAATGCATCATGTTTCAGATCATCATTTTTGTAGTGTGTTCCAGGGGATTAAAATGTACAATATTTAGGGTAGACTGAGGACATGTGTACAGTTGAAACACCTTAAATAACTTGCGTGCAAAGGAACCCTGAGCCGTGATTTTTGCTCCACACATGAGTATTAGCATTCTTTTTGATCATGGAAAATTTGAAAGGTGTGCGTCTTTCCACTCCAAAGATATTGGCAAAAGTTTTTTTTTTCCAAGGTAAGATTTTCATTTCACCATGTCCCTTCCACAATGAATAGCTTATTATCCTTTTATGACTGTTATGAGAAGGAATTCACATATATCATTGCAAACGTTACTCTGTGCTCTAAAAATAGACATATTTTATGATATTGTGCCATGCAAGGTCTTTGCATAATCTAGAGAAACATGCGAGTATGTGAGTGGGGTACGGTTGAGACGCAGTGTATCAGCTGTACCCATGAGGTGTCCTATTGCTTCACATGCTGTTTAGCTGTACAGTGTTATGATAATAGGTTAAAAGTCACATTTACACACATGCTACGCAAATTATGTTTACAAAATATTTGTGATATTTCAACTGTCTGTTATTAATGGACATATTTTCTAACATGAATGTTAAAGGATAACATAGCATTTTGTGAAATATACAAGGTGGTAAAGTGGGTACAGTTGATACACCCTTTATATCCTATGTATGCAGCAACAGTTCCATCAGAAAATAAAATGCATATTCATAGGCTGTGTGTGTGTACTGGTATTAGCATTAGTATTTATGTACTAATAGATCACACAGAATGATTAAAAATGTAAAAATACATAAAGTTTTGAGAAATGGGTATAGGTTTAGGCCCTTTTAAGTAAAAACCGTTAGCAGGTGCATAAGATAGCGCTACGTCCCACTTCAAAACACACAATATTGTTACACTTTTGTGAATAATTACCGGTCAGGGTCTTTGGGGAAACGATGGAAGGCAAGATTTTTACTGTCACACTGATAGTTTTTGCAGTGGATTGCCCAACATTGCGTTCTTAAATTATTCCACTTTGACCTCTCCTTCGTTGTTACTGTCTGTTTATGTGTATCTGTGCTGTTGTCCAGTTGGAATTTTCACAGTGTATGCCCAATTTTAGGATTTTTTGTATTGATTTGAAATTATTGTATGAATCTCTCTGCTCTTCACTTAACAAGAAAGCTGTTAAAACTACTGTATTGATAGAAAAAATATTGACTTTAATGTAAACCACCTGTGTATTCTTTGAAGTTGACATTTTATATGTAATTTTCCATTTACGTTATTTTTTATTTAAATTTATTTATGATTTATTTATAAAAAGGAAAGAAAAGATGTTTAATTTTTGTTTTTGTTCTTTATATTTCATTTTTATTATTCTTTATATATTTGTTTTGTATTCTGGTTGTGTATGTAATTTATTGCTATGACTGTATCCCCTGTGAATGTTATATCTTCAATAAAAAAAATAAAAAATAAAAAAAGTTGGAATTTTTACTCCAAAATGGCGGCCGCGCTTCCGA